TGGCCTTAAACCCTGTTCTCATATTCATTCTGTGTTCTGCTTGCCTATAGATTGAGTCAGGCTCCAGAATTTCGGGAAACAGCAGTCCGTGGCACTGCCAGCATCTGTCCGCACCGCCAGGGACCCTTGCCTTTCCTGGAGCTGGCCAGCTCGGTCTACACCCTTGGCGCGAGGTGTAGACACGATGCAGATGGTGGCTGTCCCGGGGCCACTGAGGGCCTGGAGAAGCAGAGCCATCAGGGGCCAGCCTGGGGCCTTCCTTGAACCAGGAGTCCAGCCGGGCACCCGCGGCCCATCAATAAGTATGCCCAAAAATAGCTCGTTGGGCCCGGCCAGGGCAGGAGGACCAGGACGTCCTGTTCCCGCGGGCTCTGGCCGGAGAGTGACCGTGCACTTGGCCTTGCCGGTCAGAGGCTGCTGGGAGAGAGGGCAGAGCTCACCCTGCCCGAGGCCCTGTGGCGGTTGAGCCGGGCCCCGGGCACCCACAGCCTGGCACCAGACACTGCAGACCTTCCCAAATGTGCCGCTGGCAAGGCAGGCGACTGCAGGCGGCACCGGGCCAACATCTCCGCACACAGGGAGGTAAAGAGTGAGGGCGCTGGGGTCTGGCAGGGGCGGCTTCGCGCCCCGCTTGGACTGTCCCTAGCTCTGTGACTTTGGGCAAGTCACTTCTCCTTCAGCCTTGGTTTTCCCAACTGGAGAATGGGGATGAACATTCCGTAAGGTCGCTGTGATTCGGTGGGTTTATGCACACAAGGGACAGAGTGTGGACTTTGTAGGTTTGTTTGCCGTCCACTCCTCCCCCTCGCCCTGCCCTGAAATGTGACCCCCGCCAGCGGGGGCAGGATCTTTGTCCGCTGTCTACTGATGAACCCTGGTGCACGGGGTGGTGCTCAGGCTGTTTGTTGAATGAATGAATGAAAATGTCAGGCTCCTAGCAAGTGCTCACAAATGCTCAGCAATTCTTGCTGCTAACGTGCTTGAAAACAGAGACTTGGACGTGGAGTGTGGCTCACGTCAGTATTTGAGACGAGGAAGACGTCCAGGGGAGTCGGGACCACGAGGGTTACGCATGCAGGGACAGGAGGGCCGTGTTAGGCGGGACACGGGGCGGCTGGGCTAACCCTGCCTGAAGCTGGAAGGTTTTATGTGAAATCTCCAATGTTTAAATGTTGGCCAATGATTCACAGTTATGAGGAAACACACACACGAGTGCAGGCCACACGGGACACGTCTGAAGCCAAGTGAGGCCCCGGGTCTGTGAGTTTGGGGCTGTCACCCGGCCAGAGAGGGAGGGGAAGGTTCGTCCTTGCTGCGGGCAACGGGGCAGGAAAGAATGTACTTGGAAGAGTCACCAGAGGAGCTTGCTGTGCCCCCTCTGCCCCGTGGGGATAGCGGGCTTCCACAGGGTGAAGGGACAGAGCAAGGACAGGCAGGGCAAGGCTCAGTTCAGCCCCAGCTCCAGCTCTGATCCCAGTGGGCAGGAAGGCTGTGTGGCCTTGGGCAAGTTACCTGGCCTCTCTGTGCCTCACTTTGCTCTCAGTGGAGGTTGACTCCACAGAGTTCCCAGACTCACGCACTCATTAAGCAAATACCTGTTGCATGCCAGGCGCTGTCCGGCCCTGGCGCTCGGGCATGCGCAGAGCAAGCCCTGCCTCCAGGGCATGTGGATGGGGGTGGAATCCGGCCTGGGGCTTCCTCCACAAAGCCGGACTCTGCACCTCATGCTCACAGTGGCTGTTGCTTGAGACTTTTGCTCACTCATTGGGTGCTAACTGAATGCCATATGTTATATGCTCTATCCTCAAAACCCATTGTACATTTCAAGGCTTTCTCAAAGGCTAAGCCAAAACAGGAAAGAAAATATAATAATAATAAAAAATAAAATAAATTATATATAATAAAAAAAACAAACCATTGTACAGATGGGGGCCAGGTACAGCTAGGAAGAGGTGGGGGCAGAGACTCCTCCCCCAGCCCCTTGGCCCCAGCTCTTAGCTGCTTAGCAGCCATCAGCTAGGGCCTGCTCGGGGGTAACGTGATGGAAACGTCTTTTGTTTGTGCTAAACTTTGTCCCAAATTTACCTCTTCTGAACTTCAAACAAACCCAGGTCCTGACCTTGCTCACTGCATGGCCCTTGGTGCCTTTAGAGATTTCAAACTGATCCTCTTTTATCTTCCTGGGGAGGAGGCCTGGTTATTTTTTGTTCTGTCCTCCCGAGGCTGCCCTGGAACTCCTGGGCTACTTTATAATAATAGGATCCGATCGTGAGCACCTACTATGTGCCAGGCACCCAACGGGCACCACCTCATGTGCCTCTGAGGCACGACCCGTAACAACCCCAGGATGCAGGAGCTAGGGCAGACGAGGAAACTGAGGCTCAGTGGGGCAAGGTCACTTACCCAAAGTCGCACAGCCACAGATAGATGGGTTCAAGCCACACCATTCACCACGGTGCCAGATGGCTTCTCTCACCAACCGCTGGGCGAGGAAGCGTCTCTGCCCTAAACCAAGAACTTCATCCCCCTTCCGCTTCATTCATTGCCAGAACAAACCCCTGAGAGCTTCATTTTCCCAGAAGTCCCCAGTTGGGGGGCTCCTTCCTGGGACTGGGGGTCTCCAGTGTGTGCCGTGGCCCCTTTCCAGGCCCCGTCTCTGGTCTCGAAACCCTGACCGCTTTGTGCGGGTTCCGTGGCGGGAAGTTCTCTCCGTCTGGCTTCTCCCCACAGTTAGAAATGACAAGAAGGGAACGAGGTGTGCGCTAATGGCGCGCCGGGCAAGGCCGCAGGAGCGCCGGGCCGGGAGGCGGAGTTGCGCGGTCAGAATCTGGCCGGCTCTTATCGGCTCTGCAGCTTTGCGCCCGCCGGGGATCAAAGCCCGCCAGGGCTGTTGATTTACTTTCCTCCTCCTTTTTGGCAAAAGGAGATCAAAGGTAAAAGCAAACCCTCCACTCCGCACACCTCCTCCCTCTGTTTCTTCCTCTTTTCCCTTCCTCCCTTAGGTGCGTGCGGGGAACAGCCGGGGACACGAGGGGGGCACCTTCGTTCTTCCCGAGCGAGCCGGTTCCCGGCGCCGGCTCTGCACTGGGCCCGGGCTGAGCGTTTGGTGGGGACGATGGCACAGATTCCCACCGACAGCCTGACCAGCGACAGCTCCTGTTACCCCCACTTGGCAGAAGAGGAAACTGAAGCACTCAGAGGGAAAGTCACTCTCCAGAGGTCCCCCAGGCTCTCTGACTCCTGGGTCCATGTTCCTAATCATTCCTCAAGCCACGTCCCTTCCCCACGTGTATATTCCACTAAGAAAAATGGAACGAGCACAAACAAAGGTGGCTAACAGCAGAAATCCAAGTTCAGACGCTCCCGAGGGCTCGTGCCGTGTCCAGCCCTTTGCTGGGCCGTCTCGCGTTGAGGGACCATAAACACCTGTGACAACAGTGTCAGGCCAGACGCAGGGGTGATTGGAGGCCCTCAGGCGGGAGGCAGCAGGGCGGGGTGGGGGCTGGGGTGACCTGGAGAGCCTTGAGGAGCCACTGGGCTGCTGTGCGGACACGAGGCCCCGTGTGGCCAGGGCTTTGGGGCAAGCCGGAACTCCAGATGCTTCATGTGAAACCTCTGGGCTGTTTCCTTCGAATAGACGGATAGAAGCAGTAGAAAGTAGGGGTGTGCGTTTGATTTTTGCCGGTCGTGGGCTCTGCTGCCATCCCGGGTGCAACATTCCAGTTTCATAGTGAATTGCACTATTACCTTTGTCCTAACCTTTCCCATCATTTCTTTTATTTTACACTTTTCATTGTGAACTCAAAGATTGTTTTATCCAATTAAAAAATTCCTGCAGGCCCTTGGTTAAAATCGCACTAAGTTAGTATGTGTGGGCAGAATTGTCATTTTAAGTATACAACGTCCATTTATTCTCATCCCATTTTGTGCCCTTTGGAAACTTTTTTTTTTTTTTTTTTGGTTTTCTTCCAAAATCTCTTGATTTTTTAAATGATGGCAAAATTCCAAGATATTTGAATATCACAGGCCAAGTAACACCTCCCGGGGGCTGTGTTTGGCCCAGGGTTGGGTGGGGGCTCCCTGCTGCCCCCACACCCTGGAGATTCAGGGCAGCCTGGCCCTGTGGGGGAGGTTAAACGCTGTGCTCAAAGATAACCCTGTCCCAGGCGGGGAGATCTCCGGGCCCAGAGAGCTCGGGGCGTGCTGGGCTGAGAAACTCTGGGATTTTCGATGCCAGCCCCGCTCTGCGGAAAGCCGAGGTCCCCACTTCCTTCATACCCGGCCAGATAAGCCCGGGCCGAGGCCGTGCCTTCCTGCGAGGCTCCAGCCAGCTCATTTCTGACTAGCACCTAAAACAACAATCGAAAATAACCTATATGGTATGCTCTTTAAACAGCATGTTTTTTAAAAAATAAGAAGTTGGTCAAGGAATATCTGCTGAGACCCGCTAGTGCCAGGCGCTACTCCAGGTGTCGGGGACGGGCACAGTCCGGCTTCCGTGGGTCTGAAGCTCTGCGGCGGGAACACAGGTGGGGAGCCCGGCAACGGATGAAGAATGAGGTGCAGTCCGGGCCGGCGGTGCGCGAAGAGACGAAATAAGGTGAATGGAGTAAGAGGGGCCGGAGGGCCGCCCTAGACAGGGGCTTGGAGGTGACGTTTCGCTGAGACAGAAACGGTGAGAAAGAGACAGCTGTGGCCTCCCTTTCTCCCAACACCCCAACACCCAAGAAAACCACTGTGGTATTGGCCATATATCCTGCCAGACCTTTTTGTCAAATTATATTTTTACATTTATGTGTCTTATTATTCATTTATTTAATTTATATACCAAAAATGGCCAGGTAGTGTTTTGGAACCGCCTCCTTTTCCTACCGGAAGCCTCAGTTTCCCCATCTGCCAAGTGGAACTGTTCTTAGAAGCCGCCCAACATGAGGTGAAACACACGCCAATGCGAAGATTTACCAAGAAAGTGACCCGCGGAACACGACGGACCCAAAGAGTCATAATTATTGGTGCATTTTTATTGTCACTTTATGATTATTTTTTTCGTTGGCCCCGAGAGGTGGAGATCAGGGTTTCCATTTGCAGGTGGGGTGTTAAGACTGCAAAAGTCAAAGGTGAAGGCTGGGACGGGAGCAGTGCAGGAGCGGCAGGACGTCATCCCCCTCCCCACCCCCAAAGTGGTGGGGCCTCCGCCAGAGAGAGCCCCTTCCTCCTGGGAGAGGAAGTTGAGGCTGAAACCAGGGGCTTCTTTGGGGTAGCTTTTTTTTTTGTTTTCGTCTCTGTGATGTTGTTTGTTTTCGCGAGCATCGCACTTATCTGATGTCACAGGTTTGGGAACCCAAACCACAGACATAAATATGCCGTGCTGCTCTTTGGAGGCCTGCGCGGCGCGATAAGCCAGCTGGGTGCTGCGGGTCGGCGCGCGTGGACGCAGGGCTCGTTTCTGCAGAACTCGTTAAGGACGTCAGGGCTTGTTCTCAGGTTCAAAGTTGCCAGCATCTTTGGCAGAAGCCGGCCACTGTCACCCAGACGGGGCCGGGCTGCTCAGCTCTCACACCCCCCCCACGGCTGCCCGGAGCAGCCAGGCAGCGGGCACAGGGGAAAACCCGCCGGCGACACCAGCGCCACAGCGCCGCGCGCCCTGCCGGTGCTGCAGGGCAGGCTGGCGGACCCGGGAGCCCGGGGCCGGGGCATGCCGGGCACCTGCCGTGTTCCGGCAGATTCTGGTTAACCCGAAAATCCTGTTTGGTTTTCCTGTGCGTTTTGAGAATGTCACTCGAACCCCTGCCTCCCTCTGTGATGTAAGCGTCAGGAGGCTGCAAACCCTGCTTCCTGCTGCAGGCGTGTCCACATCCTGGCCCCCACGAGGACGGCTGTCCACACGCAGCAAGGGGGTCCAGGGACAGCCTAAGTCAGGGCAGGTCCTTCCTCTGCTCAAAGCCCTCCCGTGGCCCCCACTTCACCCGGGGTGAAAGCCAAGCGCGTGCTGTGGCTCCTCCATCTCTCACGCTCATGGCCAGAGCCACCGCCACGCCCCTCTCTGCCTCAGGGCCTTTGCACTCGCTGCCCCGCTTCCTTCACGGCAATACCTGCTCGCAGAGAGGCCGGCTCTGACTCCCACCCGCACAGCGGCCCCTCCGCAGAATGGCTGTTCCCTCGCCTGCTTCGGGGGCTGTGGACACAGCGGCCGCCCGCGCAAGACCGCTGTCCTGCCGTCCTGGCTCACAGAGCCCTGGCGTTGCGGGAGGGCGGCGGGCCAGCTAACGCGCCACTGTCCCACCCCCCGCATATAGGAGCGGCCGCGGGGCCCGGGCGCGACCAACGAAGAGGAGGCACGTTGGCCCCGGGCCCTGGAAGAGCTTTCTGACGGGGGAACCTGAGGAGCACGCGCCCGCCCAGCCCCTCTTCCTGCCTGGAACGCGGATGTGCGCTGGGGTGGAACGGCCGTCCTGCAACCGCGGCCAGCAGGAAGACAAAGGCCACACGTTCGAGGCGGCCAAGCAGAGACTAGGGAGAACCCGAGACCCTGGAGTCGCCAGGGGTCGTCCTATGGCCCTAAGGCCCTCCCAGATCTCCCGCGGCAGGAGGCGGCCGACCCTGCCGCCGGGCCGGGCCCTCACAGCCCCGCGCACCCCATGGAGCCACCACGCCGTCCCCGGGTCTCTGAACGTAGGGGAAGACACACTTCCCTCACGATTAGCCACTTAGTGTGTGGCCGTCCTGCTCCTCCGCGGTTCGGGGTGAGCTGCCGTCGCTGCGCCGAGCCTGCCTGGCTCCGGGCTTGCGGGAAGCGGGGGCGGGAACGCTCTTGCCGTTCCTGGAAAACCCGAGGGGGGCAGGGGGGGTCTGGTTTCCTGGGCGTCTTTCTGCTGGGACCCCTGTCCTCAGCCAAGCAGTCTGGGTCTGTCTGCGCTGTTGGTGTCCGCGGGCCGTGCTGGCTGAGCTCGTCCCGGGGGGTCTTTTCTCCCCCTGGAGGAGAAAGCTGAGATTCAGGGAGGAAAAGGCTGAGGTAGGCCGGAGCTAGACTCGAACCCAGGTCTGCTTGACTCTGAAACCATGGTTTTCCTCCTTTCTTCTTCTGTCACCTCATCAGTAGAATAAAGAGATTATTCAAGAGGAAAGTTGATTCAAAAATTTCGTTTCATAGCAGGCAAAACCCTTTTACAGCTGAAAAGCATTGTCCGACCTATTAAAAAAAGATGAAAGAGAGACTGCTCAGAGAAGGAGGCCCGGGCAGCCTGCAGCCCCTCCCCAGGCCCGTGGCCCACAGGCGCCTTGCTGGAACCTGGGGTTTGGGGGTGCTCTTGGGAAACACCAGCCCAGACTACCTCAAGGCCTTTCAGAAAGTCTCTGAGTCCGAAAGGGGAGTCTCTGATCTCTGAAACACCCTTAAAACAGCATGGGAGGCAGGCACGCACATGGCAGAACAAAAACAACCAAAAGTCCAAAGCTTTCCAACAGTGCAGAAGGACAAGCAAAAAACAAATTTCCCTCCCACCTCCGACTTGCCAGGCCCTCCCCGGAACAGCCACTGCCACCAGGGCCTTGCGTCTCACCCAGGGGCGATCTGCGTGCCTATCAGCAAATAGGTAAATATAGTCCCCCCTCGCTCCTTAAAACACACTCACACACAAATTGTAGTATTCTATAATCACTGTTTGCATCTTGTTTTCTCAGTTAACATCTTGGCTGTTGTTCCAAGTCAGTACATAGAGGTCTGCTTCATTCACTTCGGTGGCTACGCAGAATTGAAAGACTATTTCATTTATGCAGCTAAAAATGGCCCCTATTCTTGGATACTGTGGTTTGCAGTGTTTTGCTTTGTCAATAAATGCTGCAACGAAGGTCCTTATATAATGCATCTTGGTGCATTTAGATACTTGGTCCTTCCTTCCCTCCTTCCTTTCTCTTTCTCTTTCTTTTTCTGTGTTTGTTTTTTGCTTATTTGCATTTTCAAATTTTGACTGCGTGAACACGTACCATTTGTATTATAATTAAAAGGATATGTTTACAGGCCTGGGACCCAGACTTCAGCCAAGTTAGAGACACAGCCCCATGCAGGAGCACAGCTCAGAAAGGAAATATCCAGCCTCCACCGCCGAGGCCGGTTTGGCTGGGAGGTCGCGTTGCTGGAGGATCCCGTGCCGAGGCTCAGCCCCGGCCTGTTGGACACATTGTAGAGGACAGGGTCTGGGTTCCAGTTCTGGCTGTGACGCCGGCTTTCTGCGTGAGCCCGGGTGAGTCACGGTAGGTTCTTGGGGGAGTTTGGTGTTACCGTCCCCACTTCCCAGGTGAAGAACAAAGGCCTCAGGAGAAGGAAGCACTGGCCAGTCTCTCCCATGCCAGCAAAGGGGCCACCTCCATCCAGCCTGGGCGCCAGCCCTGCAGCCTCCCCGCCTCCCCTGCGCCCACGAGTACCGTGGGCTCTGCCTTCACAATCGAGCCCTGTCCGTCACCAAGTCCTCACCACGGCCTGCGAGGGGCCCTCTGAGATCTGCCCCCACCTCTCCAACTCCATCCCTGCTGTCTCCTCCCTGCACCCCTCCCTGGCTCTCTCTGCACCACCTCGCCAGGCTCGGCCCCACCTCAGGGCCTTTGCACCTGCTGTGCCCTTGACTTGATTCCTCTCTTTCCCGCAGGCCTGGGACTGGCCGAGGCACTCGAGGTGCCCAGGCCGAGATGCTCAGGGGGCTCTCACCCTGGGGCGCTGGCTTGCACGTGACCGAGCCTGAGGACAAGCGCCTCTTCATCGCAGTCTCGCCCGCTGGGCGCCCTCCGCGCCTTTCCTGCTGGGCCCCCTTCCCGGCCTGGGGCTTCTCAGGCAGGCCTCGGTTAGCAGCCCCCGCATGCGGCCCCCTGACCGTCTTGGCCCACGGCGGCCGCCGCTGTCCAGCCCACCCAGTCTCGCTGTCTCCGTGGGCTGGTTCCTGAAGCGCGTGCTTCCCGCACAGCCCCGCCCACCGGACAAGCCCGCGCGGCTGGGACGTGTCTGCCTCGCTCTCAGATCTTGCCCGGCGCGGGGACAGGGCCGGCGTTCCGGAGACGGCGCGTGCCCGTGGGCGGGTGGACGGGTGAGCGAGCGACCGCGCGAGCCGGGCAGAGGGCCGGGTGGGAGGCCAGGCTCGCGGCCCAGAGCCAGCCGCCCGCCGTGGCGGAGACCGCGGGAGTGGGACCCGCTCGGCCAGGCCACCGGCTGTGGCTGGGGTCCCGGCCTGCCCTGACGTGAGCCCTGCATGCGAGGACTGGCTTCCCGGAGAAACTTCTAGGCGGGGAGGGGCTTGGCCCAGCCCCGGGGGCTGCTCCGAGCCTCGGGCCCTCGGTGGGGCCCGCCGCGGCCCCCCTTCTCTGCTCCAGTTTTTATTTTTAGCGCCGAGTTTTTGGGCAGGCGACTCTCCTTAGGAAAAGTCCAGCGAGAGGACGAGGGAGGCGGTTTTGAAATCCGGTGGGAAAGTAGGTCAGGCCGGGGCTGGCCGGGGGCCAGACGATAAGGCCGGGCAGGAGTTTAATAGCGTGAGCGGCCGTCTCCATGACATAACTCATAACCGAGAGGAAACGGCAATTAGGGAGCAATTGTGCAACGCGGGACAAGCCTCCTTCGCAGCTCATAAAAGCAGGGGAGGAAGAGGCCACGCTGTCATTCCGGGGCCGCTGGGGGCCTGGCCGGTGGCCCGTGGGGGTTTGGGAACAAGTCAGTCTCTGCGTCGGGGGTCCTGGGAGGCCGCGTGAGGCAGAGCAAGCACCTACTGCGTGCCTGGCCCGGCACAGGGCCGGGGCGAGAGCCGGCACAAAGCCAGGCGTTCTGCTGGGCCAGGCAGTTTGGGCGCAGCTGCGCCGTCTCGGTGCTGCCTTGTCACAGCGGAGAAGCGCTTTGATTACTGGGTGAAGTGTGCGACAGACATCCCCATCCCTGTTCCAGCTCCCCCTGCCCCCGCCCTCCCGCTCCTGCGGATTTGCAACTGCTCCTTTAGCCGTGTCTCTGTTGTTTGGTCTTTGCACGAGCACCATGTGGTTTCATAATCAGTTTTTTAAAAAAGCTATTAAATCTGTCCTGGCCCCCTTTCTCCCCAAACAAGCCAGGGACGGACCGCAGGACGTTTGCACTTGCCGTGCCCTCTGCCTGCGTTAGACAGCTCGGCCTGCAGGTGTGCGCACGCGCAGGCAGGTGTGCGCGCTCCACGGGGGTGGGAGGGGTGCTCACCACTCGGGCAATTCTGGGAGCCTGGCCCAATTGTACTGCCGCGCCAGCCCAGGCCGCGGTGCCCTGGGGGGGGGTTTTTTCTTCCCTGCCGGATTTGCACTGTCCTTAGCCGTGTCTCTGTTGTTTGGTCTTTGCACGAGCACCATGTGGTTTCATAATCAGTTTTTTAAAAAAGCTATTAAATCTGTCCTGGCCCTCCTTTCTCCCCAAACAAGCCAGGGACGGACCGCAGGACGTTTGCACTTGCCGTGCCCTCTGCCTAAATGCTCTTGCCCTGGAAATTCACCTGGCTCACCCCCACCTGCCTCAGGACTTCACTCAAATGCGGCTTCCCACCGAAGTCTCAGCTGACCAGCCTTGTAAAAACAGCAAACCCACCTGGCTGTTCTCAATTTACCGCCCCTGCTTTATTTTTATCTACAGCACTTACCCCAATTAACCCTCTCCACATGCTGTTCTTTTGTTTTATTATCTGCTTATTCACACTGGTATGCTGGCACCACCTGCAACGGGGTTTTTGACCATCTTGTTTTCAGCTATTGTACACCCCAGGTACCAGGAACTGTCTGGGCACCCAGTAAAGATTGGTGAATGAATGGATGAATGATGAGTGAATGTTTGCTGTTAATATCGACTGATACAAAGCTGACCCTTTTCTGGTTTGCTCTGGGGGCTGCCTTAGAATGGCCCAAGGTCCAGTCTTCTTGGATACTGCTGGTAGCAGCAGAAGGTGGGGTAACCAGGGCTGGTCCGGCTGGCCCAGATCTTGACAGCTGGCCCCTGTTCTGACGTCACCCCTCTTCCTTCCCCACTGGCCTCTCTGGAGAGCTTCTTGGCCACTTTTATTAAGATTTTAAACACATCCACCCTGCTGTCCATGAACATTCTCGTGCATGGGAACTGGGCTCTGCACGCAGAAGGGGTTCCTTGCAGAACTTCCTACACAGCGTCGGGGACACACACGGGAGGGAAGGCACACGCCCCTCCCACACACTCACACTCTCACACAGTTGACCGTGCACGCTCGTTTTGTCATCCCACACCCAGACACTCACAAGCGCATGCTCAGCCATGCACACTGCCCCTGCCCCCTCCCCACACCTACTCACTAGCGTGTGCTCTCCACACAGGCGTGTACCCACGCACGCGCCAGCCCATGTGCCTTCTTAAAGTCATACGTACATTCCCATGCGGACACAGTCACCCCCATACACACGCACACCCCCCCACACCTGCTGGCCTGAGAAGCGGGACAGACCGCCTGGCCCGTGCACGCCCTGACCCCCGGCCCCTCGGCACTGCTCCACTCTGACCGGCTCAGCAAGCCGCAGGGTGCGTGGTGCCCACGTCAGCCCTGACTGTGCCGCCTCGGGGCACGTCTGCCCGGCTCGTCCGTCCCTGGGCACCCGCCCACTTCCTCCCCAGCAGTGGGCGGGCAGGCCCGGCTGACATCAGGCGGTTTCTGGGCCCGCCTGGCACCCAGAGGGGAGGAAGGACACAATCTGCCCCAGCCGCGGGAGCTGACCCAAGGAGCCCAGGACACGCCCGGTGGCTCCGTGACCCAGGTCACCTGCAGCCAGATCTGACAGGGCTGGTCACCCCTTCACCCCCCCCCCCAGGGCACCGCGGCCTGGGCTGGGGCGGCAGTACAATTGGGCCAGGCTCCCAGAATTGCCCGAGTGGTGAGCACCCCTCCCACCCCCGTGGAGCGCGCACACCTGCCCGCGCGTGCGCACACCTGCAGGCCGAGCTGCTCCTATACG